TTCATCACTTACTTTGCCAGCCTAACGTGTTCTTCTTTCCCTCTTCTAGATTTCTCCTCCCAAAGCCTTTGTACTCTCTTTGGAAGTCAAGTGGCCAAATGAAGGAGTAAGTGTTCAGCGTCTGTTTGATTATCAGGTACCGAAATTTTACTTAGATACCTGTTTTCTGCACTGGATCCTCCAAGTCAAATACTTTAGAGTTAAGAGAATTGCTCATTCCTTTCTTTTCTGAAAGAAAAGCTCTCCTTCTAGTCCGTTTCTTTACAGTGATGATAATCAGTGATGGACACCAGAAACTAAGAATGCATGAAAAGAGGACCTCCAGACTTCCGCCTTCCTACACTCCTATTAACTTACCTACTCCACTTCAGCACATTCATTGCACTCACTTTTAAGGTGACTAGGCATCTTGCATAAGGAAGAATAGTGCTTACCCTGTCTAGTATTCTACCAAAATTTACCCCGTTGGTACAGATCATCCTACGTTGGTCTCTCCTCTCTCTCTATCCTCTTGCTCAGGATTTATTAAATCACACTGCTTAGATCTCCTATAGAAAGTATTTGTAATATATTCCTTCAAAGTTGCATGTAAATTAAACCATTCTATCACTGGAGTCACATGTTAAAAGAGTCTTAGGGAAAGTTCTTTGGGGAAAAGAAGGCAGCAGTTCTATGCCCCAGTGTTGGTTCTAATACTGTGTAAACTTAGATAAGGTTTGGGCCTCAGTTTCCTCATCTGTAAAATGAGGAGATTGGACCAGATGATCTTTTTTTTTTTTTTGCGGTACGCGGGTCTCTCACTGTTGTGACCTCTCCCGTTGCGGAGCACAGGCTCCAGACGCACAGGCTCAGTAGCCATGGCTCACGGGCCCAGCCGCTCCGCGGCATGTGGGATCTTCCTGGACCGGGGCACGAACCCGTGTGCCCTGCATCAGCAGGCGGACTCTCAACCACTGCGCCACCAGGGAAGCCCTGGACCAGATGATCTTTAGGGTTCCTTGACAAATCTGAAATTATATCGCTAAAATGTTTTGATATATTATTTGAGATTTTTTTGGTAAAAAAAAAATACCTGTATTTCTTCTAGATAGAAGGATTTTTGCAAAACTAAGCTTATTTTTTCCATGATAACATAGACTCATGAAAGACAATTTGGAACTACAGAAAAACAGAAAGAAAACAGGGGGAAGCATTCATAGAACCACTACCTTGAAAAGACAAGCTAGTGACTTGTCTTGATCGACCTGATCCTACTTCCTCCTCTGTCTTTGCAGCCCTATCTCTATCACTGTCATCAGTTAAGATTCTCCATGGACAGACATGAAAGACACATCAGGTTTGCATATTCGGACTCCAGCCACAATACTTACGGTGCCTGTCCCTATAGAGACTTGACATTCTAAGGTGTTACTGATAACAGCTGCAGCTGAGGGAGAAGACTATATTCCCAGGTCACAGGATGACAAAGTCATCCACTTTTATCAGCCAGTCTCCTGCTCAAGCAGCTAAAGCCAACAACCTGGATTGGTGACTGAGAAAGGGACGAGCAAGCTCTGGAACCAAATTCTGGTTTCTCTTACTTCAGAAGACAGATATTTCTAGAGGTGGAAGGCTCTCCAGTATCCAGCTCTTCTGTTTTATACGTCCAACATAATCATCGTCATCGTAAAATACCAATGAGAGAGAAAGAGAGAAACTTGGATTTCCTCCAAGTCCCTACCAGGTTCCCTAACAAATGGTTCGCAGAAGACATAACAGAATGATGTCACCCTGACCAAACTTCCATTGTGGAGGAGGTTGTAGATTCAGGCAGATATGCACAGGAAGGAGAATGTGATCCCCAAAGTGTGATATCCCATTCCTATTACCTAGGAGGACAGCAAGCAGAATAATAAAGGAGGGAGTACTGGGTCTAGTGAAGTTTCTAGTTGATCTGTCCCTTGCTCCATCCCCTGCCAGCTTGAGGACAGATGCTATGGGGCAGACACCATGGAACTAGTTACCAGTCATCCATAAGCCCCATTTCAGCAGAATGACGGCTGGACCAAGGGATTCCTCCAGCTGGGCTTTTTACAGTTGAGAAGGGCAACAGGATCACAGAAGAACTTGCAAGTGTGCTTTAAGCCGCCAGCTACACCATATGACAAGGGATTATAGGAAAGAGCCCTCATGGACTGAATGTATCTCCCATCCCCATTCTTCACCGAAACTAGCAAAAAGTTATTAAACTATAAGAGATAGACTGTGATTCACAGCAATCAAGTCCTGCCTGCAGCTGTGAATGCAGACAAGCTGGAGACGAGCCCCTGCAGCTCCTCTGCACACGAACACACACACTCACAGGGAAATGCTCTGCTGCAGTACTGAGTGACAGCAGAGCCAGGAAGGCAAAGTATAACCAGAGACCCTCCCCAGCAGCGTCACCAGGATCCTACACTTTTCCTCTAGGTCTGGAGACCCCCTCCCCAATTTTTGTTCTTCATTTGAAATGGAACTCTCTTAAAGAGATCCCAAATTCTCTCATTTCATGCAGTTTCACTGAAGCAAGACAATAAGCAGGTGGGGGAGGTGAAGCTTACATAAGATTCAGAGTGCACAGGGCTTTCCTGGGCTAGGGCTCCAGCCTGAAAAAGGAGATCCCTGGGGCTGGGCTGAGAGAAATAAAGAAGTTTGGAGTCTCCCTAGAGCTTCAGAGCTCTGGGCAACACTTCCACTTTTCTTCATAGCTTTTACAAGAGGAAGAAAACAGGCTGGGTCTTGGCCTCTAGGGAAGCAGAGGCCCTTTGGGTATCTGGCTCAGGGACAGCTGATCTCTGTGTAAGCCCAGGTGGCTGCTTCTGGATTTTATAAATACTCATCCCTGAAGCCAGGCTCAGCTTTGTATTAGGAGGCAGCTTCGACGACTAAACTGCTAGTTAGGGCCAATTCACTCTGACAGCCTGGGAGGTCAGGCAGCCCTGCAGACACTGTCAGTTACTTCCCATCCAAGGATTCCACTCTCTTCATTCTACTGAGTTCCTGATCGAGGCTAGTCAAGTACAGCTGCTAAGTCAAGACTTGACTTTCCCCTCAAACACCAAATTATTTTTCTTGACACTGCTTTGTGACAGCTTTGTCACTCCACCAAATATCACCCTAGATCCCAGCCCCTGTAGTGTATCCTACAGAGAGGCTGTGCACTTCCCCTAAAAAGCACAGGCTAACCACACATCTTCATGTTGGCATAGACTTCAGATCACAAACCTCCAGGGGATGGCTTGAATTGCAACTTTCAGATTTAGAAACACTAGGGGGGCGCTGAACTCTAGATCTCAGTGAAAAGAGGGCAAAGAGGGCCTCCCTGGTGGCGCAGTGGTTGAGAGTCCGCCTGCTGATGCAGGGGACACGGGTTTGTGCCCCGGTCCGGGAAGATCTCACATGCCGCAGAGCGGCTGGGCCCCTGAGCCATGGCCGCTGAGCCTGTGCGTCCGGAGCCTGTGCTCTGCAACGGGAGAGGGCAAAGAAAACCTCTCTTCTCACATTAGGGCTGAAAGAAGCAAAAGGAAAGAAGATTGAATCTTTTTGTCCTTTTCTTTCTTTCTGAAAGGCTGCTGTGGTCACAGTCACAACTATCTGAGGGACAGGAAAACACTTTAGTTCATCTGCAGCCCCCAGAGTAGCTGAATTTTCCAGGATAAACTTAGTGGACATGGCAACCAAAACATAGTAGTTGGCACTAATTGGCTCCCTGGGCGAGAGATTTTGGTAGGAGCCAGCAGAGCTCCTACTAAAGATGAAGATCTAAACTGAGACCTACAGGGTCCTACCCCTTCACTAACCTTGTATCCTTGACACTTCTCATGCTAGTTTTCTGAAATACTCTAAAATAATTTTTTTTTTAATTTTACAAGTGAGATGGAGATAATAACAATATCTAACATACAATGAGTGACTACTCTCTGCCAGGTACTGTTCTCAGTACTTGGCATATATTATCTCATTTAATCGTTAGAAACGACCAGTATTACCCCCATTTTGCAGATAAAACACTGAAGCAGAGAAAGGCTTAGTAAACTTGCCTAAGGCCACATAGCTAGTAAGCAGTAGAGCTGGGATCTGGCATATAGCTGAGATGTTGGATTTAACACAAGATCCTGGGTACTAGGAAAGGGGGTGCAGAGAGCAAGCTTGTGATGTCACTGCCCATACTGACTTCACTTAGAAAGGAAGATCCTTGTCTCTGGATGCCTAAAAATGCAGTCAAACAATGGAAGAGGTCTTTCCCAGTCTCTGCTTTGACCCCCACGGATGGAGAGTGTTCTTTGAATAGAGGAAATCACAGTTAATGGACTGGGTCTGGTTCGGATGACCACGGACCCTGTGGAGACTCAGGGTGTAACAAGCACTGCAGAAGGAGGTCTACTCTTGAAGGGGACATCTCCCCAGCAGCCAGACAGGCCCCCACTACAAGTCTTCTGAATATCAGAATGGTCCCTCCAACGGTTGGTTCTTGATTGAATGAGTGGAGGGTAGGATGCCACCTTCCTAATAGGGGCGAAGTGGCCACCCCAGGGGGCGAGGGCTGGAGTTCTCCGTTGAATGCTACATAAGGAGTGTAAAAGCAATACAGCCCTAGGAGAGGGAAGACAGAAGCTAATGTTTTTCTCAGAAGGCTGGGGAGTGAAGGGAAGCCCAAGTAACCTTGGAGCAGTAAGACCTATGCAGAGGGCAGTATCCTGACGATAAAACTTACGACCTGAGACCTCAGCCCTCCCATTCTACAATCGATTCCAGTCCCCCCAAATCTCCACCGACATTCAGGGGATTTAAAGCCTCCCTCTTCCAATCGCTTCCCAGCACTCCAAGGTGGGAGCTTTCCCAGAGAGGCAGGGGGCGTCCCGGGAGGATTCTCAGCGGCTCTGGGGTGCAGCACCCTCCCTCGCAGCCCTGGGACCCCGAGCCGCGGCCTCCCCGCGCCGCAGCCCTAGTCCGCAGCGGCGGGGCCGGGCAGCGCCTCTCACCTCGCTCATCGCGGCGGCCAGACGGGGCGCGCGGGGCGCGACACGTGCAGGGGAGACAAGGGGCACTCAGGCTGCACGGGCGACGGCCGCAAGTTGCCGGGCTCTGAGGCAGGGGCCCCGCTGACGAGGCGAGGAGAGTTAGTGCGGAGAGCCGCTGCTCCAGTGCCCGCACCCCAGCTCCAGGCGCTCAGCTCCCTGCCAGGAGTCCCCTTCCGACCCTGTCCTGTCAGAGCCGCTCCGCGAGCCTCCGCCGGCCCCACCTTTTATAGTCAGCTCCCTACCAGCCTCCAGCCCGACCAATAGGAGCTCTTCCTGCCGCAGAGTGACAGCCCCTGGCATCCAATGGTGGCAGGCTCAGAGGTCTGCTGCATTTCCAAACTAGGGTAAGACAGAGAGCGGGAAGGAGGGGGAGACCGTCGGGGGATGAGAAGATGGAAAATGAAGCAGGGGGAGCAAAGGAGGAAGGAGAGGAAGGAGTAGTGCACGAAGGAGAGAGAGAGAGAGAGGCAGGGAAGGAGTGTGTGAGTTTGAGAAAGTGAAGAAAGAAGAGCTGGAAGGATATCAAGAGGGTGCATGTGAAGCAGGAAACTGAATGAAAGGGTAAAAGCCAAGAGATGTTACAGATTAAGATTTAGTAATAGGATGGCAGTCTGAATAAGAGAAGGGCAGAAAGGAGGAAGGCAAGGAGAGGGAGAGATAGAAACAGAGAGGGACAGAGAGAGCAAAAGAGAGACAGAGAGATGCAAGGGGACGGTATTCTGTGGCAAAGAACAGGGGAATTTTGAAGTGCCTGTTTGATTTGGAAGATCATAGATCTAAGGAGTTGAAAGACATTTTAGGATCCATTAATTCTACCTCCCACATAATGCGAAAAACCCTTCTCCAACAAAATGATGGTCCCCTAGCGTCTACTTGAATAGGTAATGAGCTCCCCCCAAAAGTTAATTTACAGCTGTTTACTGATTCAATCTCAGTCTGACAATGTGCCCTCCACTGTGCTCCACTGTGGTGGTGAAGCTATTAAAAAAATGAGAGAGAGACACACACACACACACACACACACATTATGACCTTGCACCTATCGTTGCCATTAAAATAGATTTCAATATGCAAGTCCTATCTCTTAGAGTCTAGGTTTTTTCTTCCTGCAATTCAGGTAGGAACCCATTTGGTGGTATATGTTTGAGTACCAAAACTAGCAAGTGGATTCTGCCCAGATGTAGGGAGCAGATGTGAAAGATGAAGCCCACAATCCAATCTATATAGATTATTTTTCAATAAGATGGAACTTTACTAAATAATCACTATGTTGTATAAGTTTTAAGAAAAAAATATGATTAGAGCAAGATGAAAAGAAATAGAACACCTAGGTAAAAGTCAGGAACTTTCTGATAACTGCTATTCCTAAATATCTAGCTTTCATTTCTACTTTAAAGAAATCCTTTAAATGCTCTTGCCTGTGATACTTCTAGGCATTGTAAAACCTTTTAGCCTACTTAAAGCTTCAGTCAGCCAAAGCCAAGCACTTTCAGCGTTAGCCGTTACACCCTTTTGATAGTTTCTTTCATGGCCTGTAATAACTGAGTCATTAATAGCTGAGCTTCTCTCAGCCAGCAACCACTGATCCCTTCTCAACAACCAGATTCAGATAAGACCTCAAATACCCTTTCTCTAGCTAGACCCTCTGTGTGTTTACATTTTCTCTGCCACTTCGGAAACAGAGAAGATGGAAAAGAAGATCACATCTTTTCCCCCATCTACCTGGGATCTTCTGACTCTCACTTTCCAATGGGAATCTGGTTGCCTAAGTTACTAAATTCTAAGTAGGCTAGCACCTACTTACTCTATGCAGCCTACCCTCTGGCTTCCCCCACCTGTCTAAGGAACAGTTAATTAGCCTTGAAAAGATTGTCTTTAGTGAAGCAGACCTCTCCAAAGTTCTTGAACAGTGATGCAAAGATTATACAGAGAATCCAAGATCCTAGATCAGAGGTTAGCAAGCTTTTTCTGTAACAGCCAGAGAGTAAATATTTTAGGCTTTGTAGGCCCTATAGTTAAACTACTTGAGCCTCCCATTATAGCTTGAAGGCAGTCATAGACAATATCTAAACAAGATAGGTGTGGCTATATTCTAATAAAACTTTATTGTGGACACTAACATGTGCATTTCATATAATTTTCATGTGCTGTGAAATATTCTTTTTCTTCTTTTACATTTTTAATGTAAAAACCATTCTTAGTTCACAAACTGTGCAAAAACAGGCAGCAGGCCAGATTTGGCTTACAGGCCATAAACTGCCAATCCCTGCCATAGATGATTAAATGCCCAAGTATGCTACAACAGTAAGTTGTATAACAGTAAATAGTATAGGTCTAAGAAGGAAGACATTGTCTAGGACTGAAAGAGTCAAAAGCTTCCTGGAGAGAATGGGATTTGGGTTGGATAAAGGAAGGGTAAAATTTAGACAAATGCTAGAAGGAAGGGGGGAAGGAGGAAAAGGTGTCGATCTGACATCTGGGTGATAACAAGAAAGAAGTGGTGAAAGAAGACTGAGGTTTATGGTAGGGAAGTGGCAGGAGATGTGTGAGGGCCTTGAATGTCAGAATAAGGAACTTAAACCTTACCCTTGTACAAATGGCATTTTTAGATTATTCTTGCAAGGAAAACATAGGACTGGTTTGACAAGAGAAAGACCAAGAGCAGGGAGAAAAAGATGGGGATGTCATAATTGTACAAAGTGCAACAGTCTGGGTGACTATAGTGACAGTAACAGAAGAAAAGGGACAACATCAAGAAACCTAAGGCATAAGGAATCAATAACAAGATTTAGGAGAGGATTCAAAGTGACTCTTGGAATCGGGACCAGAATATTGGGAGTTATTCAATTATTCACTGGCTATTAAACACACATTATGGCCAGGACTTACGCTAGGTGTTGGGAAAAGAAGACCCACATGACATAGAACCTATAGTCTAGAAGGGGAGAGATGGTCATGTGAACACGAAGGTGCAATATTATTATGGGTGCTGTGGTGGAAGTCTGGGCAAGTGCAGTGAGCGTCCAGAAGAAAGAATAGAATGAGAATAACAATCTGAACAGGCATCATAAGGAGCTACTAAGAACAGCAAGATCCCATGCATGGAACTGGAGTTAATTTGTGAAGACATTCACATACTAGAATGAGGATAAATGAAATCAGGTATGTAAAGGCATTCTGTAAACTGTGATGCTAAAATGTGAGCTATTTTTACATTTTAACAGAGCCTTGTGTTATCTATATTAGGGAAGAACATAGAAGAAGAAAGGTGAGGAGGTTGAAATTGAGCCTTAGAGAAAAACCCATAGTTTTCCATAACCAATAGCCTTAGGAAAAATGAGAATCCAACAGAGGAGAAAGAAAAAAGAGCTACTAGAAGCACAGGTTGAGAATCAGGAACACATAACATCATAGAGGCTTTAGGGAGAAAAGACATTTCTTTTTTTTTTTTTTTTGGCGGTACGCGGGCCTCTCACTGCTGTGGCCTCTCCCGTTGCGGAGCAGAGGCTCCGGACGCGCAGACTCAGCGGCCATTGCTCACGGGCCCAGCCGCTCCTCGGCATGTGGGATCTTCCCGGACCAGGGCATGAACCCACGTCCCCTGCATCGGCAGGCGGACTCTTGTCAGGGAGTCAAAGCAATGGGGAGGTTGATTGGGAGAAACATAAGAGAAAGGCCATTGAATTCAACAGGTCACCAGAGATCTTTGGTGAATTTAAAGATCAAAACCAGGGTAGATTACAGGGTACAAAGGAAAGGAGGTAGCCTGAACGCTTCCTATTCAAAGAAGTGTTTGTGCCAAAACTTGGGAGGCCGAATAGGATAAAGCAGGCCCAGACTGGAAACTTGGCTCAGTGGACACCTGAGTGAGGTTGACCACATGTCAACTGCAAACATGGCAGGTAAGAACAGCAGGGAGCAATTGTTCAGAAGTCAGAAACGAGTCAGGAATCAGACTAAAAGACCAATGAGTATCCTGTCAGAAACTCAGAACAGCAAAAGATAATCAGCTATGAAAGACAGCAGCGAAGAGGGAAACAGGAAATGGACCCAGATGACATGGAATGTACCTTACTAAAAAAATGCCTGGAAAAATAGATACCCATTAAGTATTTGTTTAATGAATGAATTCATTCTCAAATAATAACATGATGCCACATAGAATGAGCATGAGTTTGGAATCAGACCATAATTCATATCCCAGCCCATTTATTCACTCTGTAAACATTTATTATCTGTGCTTGGAGTATTCAAGACCCTAAGGATCCAAAAATGAAAGATGCAGCTCTTGACTTCAACTCACAGTTGATTGACAGTCAGAAAGTGACAGTTGTTCTGCAGTGTGATACGTGCTGTGACAAATGTGTGAGCAGACGTGTAGCTCTAACCCACAGGCTCCTAGAGGTGATCTGCTGTACTCAGGCCCGAAGGGCCAAAAGGATCAAGGGGACCTGGTGGGGGGGGATGTGTGGTGGTTTGGAAGTGGGGTGTGTGTGGCAGTTCCAATCAGGCTGAACAATAAGGGCAGATGTTCAGGGGTGGTGAGCATAGCTTGTTCAGGGAACTCTGAGTGCTTAAGCACAAAGTATGATGTGTTAGGTCAGGGGAGGGAAGTGGGATAGATGAAGGCAGAGTGATAAATAGGGGCCAGATCACAAAGCACTTTGTGTGGCATGCCAAAGAGATTGGATTTTATCCCAAAGGTGATGAGAAGCAAATGAAGAATTTTAAGCAGGGGAGAGACATGATCAAATTTGCATTTTAGAAATAGCAACAGCATGGAGGATGGGTTGGAAATAGATGAAGCTGGTCTTAGGCAGAATAATTTAATTCCACTACTTGCAGTGATAAGTGGAAAATGATGAGGGCCTGAACTCAGCTAACAGGTAGTGGGCATGTAGAGGCCAGGAGACAGGAATGACAGGGCATGGCATCTGATCTGTTTTAGGGAGGGAGAGAAAAGGGGCTAGGTGACTCCCCGGCTTCTGGCTTGACATCAGGGAGAGGGCAGCAGTGGAAAAGAAGGAAAGGAAGAGTGTAAGAGAATGACTATGTATTGACTTTTTTCCATGTTCCAAGCACTGTGTAAGGAAGTTTACATATATCACTTTATTTAATCTTCACGACAAACCCAGCTAGTGGGTGTCATTAAACCCTTTTTTCCAGATAAGAAAACCAAA